CCCCAAAACCCCAAAACCCCAAAACCCCAAAACCCCAAAACCCCTAAATATTTTCAAACATTGAAATCTTTTTAATGATCACTAGAATTTTCATGAAGAAAAGCAGCTGTAAAAGCTCTTTGCTGAAGCAAAGAGCTTTTAGCACTGCTAAGCTTAGGGAATTTTGGAATGATTTCTCAGATGATTATGTTCAAGAAGCAGAAACATTGGGCATTCCGATAGGACTTGACCTGTATGAACTGACTCGTGCGAGGAAAGCGAGGAGAGTTATAGAGACAGCAGCCGGAGCAGGAACTGCATCAGCAATGTTTATAGCTCATTTGTTAAAGCTAAGGAGTAGTTTTGTAGCTTGAGATCTTTCAGATGAGATGGTGAGTAAAATTCAACAAAAATATTCTGATTTATCTATGCTTTCAGATAAGATAAAGTATACTAAGTTGGCTCAAGAAGGTAAAGAAGAGATTGATCTTTGAAATTTTGATGATGATGTTAAAAATATTTATGCTTTGAGATGTTCCAATGAAGATATTCCAATCAAAGATGAGCAATTTGATGTGTATATCTCTAACTTCTCTATCCATATTGTTAGTGATCCAGAAGCAATGCTCAGAGAGGCCCATAGACTGCTGAAACCAGAGGGTACAATTGGGATTTCACTTTGGAAAAGAAGAGTGGAATCTCCTTTCTTTAAGTTATTCCCTGAGATTTTACGTGAAAATGGTGGAGATATTTCAGATGATTACTCATACTTCAACATGGAAGGGAGAGTTCCTTCCTACCTTGAAAAGACAGGATTTAAATCAATTAAGAAAGCGACGAAATACATTCATTACAATGAGAACGTTGAGAATGTATTAAGAACTGCTTTAAAAACTCCTTTTTACCGTGAATCGATCCGCGCTAATCCACAAGAAATTGTAGAGCAATCTATTCAAGAATTCTGCGAAGTCTACTCCAGAGAGTATCCTCCAGAGGAAGAAATGATGCATTTTGGAGTAGAGATCTGAATTGCTAACAAGTAGTTGTGATTCTTTTTCAATTAGCACTCATAAAATAGGGGTTTTGGGGTTTTGGGGTTTTGGGGTTTTGGGGTTTTGGGG